TCTCCATCTGAAGCTATAAACATATTTCAGTTATACCAACCTGCTTGCTTTCACATATTATTGCGTATAGGGATATTACTGCAAATTTGTTCATGAAAGACTGGATTTTAATCTTTCTCTAAAATGTGTGGTATTGGATACTACTGGTCCTTGGAAATGCAGTTCTAGGTGGATGTTGAGCCTGATCAATTGCAGCAACTCATTGAAAGTGAATAACATAATGTTTCTACTAATAAATTAGTAAATAAACACTTAACAAATTGACCATTTACTTGGGGGGGGAGGGGGGGAAGAAATTGAATACAGCAAATAACAATCCAGGGAATTATTTATAAAAGAGGGAAATAAACCAACACCACCAAAAAAAATCAAAACCCAAGTACCAGGAGCATGATACATAGCAATAGAAGGTCTTGTTGCTTTGAATTGCTTAGAACAAATAACTTTTGCCAATCTGTTCCAGAGCTACAAATGATGAAAAATTCTAAAATAATGCAATTTATAACTTCCGCAACTACAGGGCTTTAGCTAAATGTTACAAAGGCTAATAATTTCTCATGCTTCCCCAGCCAAGGGTGGCAGTTGATCTCATCCATAACTGAGCTACTACTTCAGAAAGTGAAGTGCATTCTGGAGGTGTACAACTTTTTATTAAAGATCAGGACAAGGTTTAATGATTCCAGGGTTTTTTCCCCCTTTTGGCTAGTAGTAAGAAGTTTCACACAGTATAATTGAAATAAATGAGATATTAAACCCTAAAAGTCAAGGTAATATATAATTAAAAAGTAACCACAGATCACTTTAGCTATCTGCTAGGACATAGTCTTATAGGTCTCAAAAGCCACATCATCAAAATAACTCATTTCTGTCTGTCCTTTATTTACAAAGTACTAGCACTACTGAACTATGTCTGCTTTGATTATTCCACAGAAACCACCTAATATAGAGGTTTGAGCCTTCCAAGCTCATTTGACAGGGGTTCACAGCTCAGACTCAAACCATGGTCTCTGAGAAAAAAAAATGCAGTTATTTATCCTCTAAAGACATCTACTGGAAAATCGATACCTCAGATGTAATGAGTTGTAAGACAAGTAAATTAGAGTACAGATTACTCTGTCAATTGGAACACATAACTTTTCTCTGTAATTAAGTATTTCATATGTGGTGCACTGCATTTGGCACTGGTTGCTTTGTCTAATTACTGTACATTCTATTTTAAGTGGATAAGAAACTTCCTGAAGTACCTTGGCTTCCACTTCCAAAGGTGCATGAGCCAAAACAGAGCCTTTGGAGTAACCAGAAAAATTTCCTGCCCTAGCAGGTAGCTGGCACTGGAAATAAAGTGTGCTGTATAGTTAATGTGCTTGTCCTTTCTCATTTCAGCCCTACTACTGATATGAAAACAGATAATTTATACCAGTTCTGATCATCACTTGTCCTAGTCACAGGGACAGTGTGAACATGGAAGGCAACGCAAAAAATTGTATCTCAAATCCATAACTCAAGGAAATATTTCTGTTTACAAATGCAGGTAAGAAGAATACACAATTATTTCTTGTTCTTAGAACATCCATTGTCTGAGAGTGTGCAAAGCCTGTTCAGGTTTGCAGATGGTGGAGGCATCTAAAAGCTGTTACACCTGTACTGACTGACACAGGAGTATGCTGTGAGTTCAGGACATACACAAGCAACATCAACTTTGGAAGCGGAAGACCTTGGGGTGAGATCCTGGACAAACCAAGAATATTCTGAATGCTTGAGAAGCCTATACTATAGCTAGACCTCCATACACTGCTGAAGATAAAGGAAGAGTTTGGAGTTGTCCATGTTACAACTGCAGCATGAAGAATCATCAATAGTCTGAGACTTGAGAGCTCTTAAATTGTACAAATCTCTGTTCACAGGATGGAGATACCAGAAAGGATGTCAGTATCTGCATCTCAAGAGTATGCCTGAAGACTTACGGATATGAGTAGTGCCTGACTTCTCAGATTCAAGAAAGTTTGGTTCAGTTCAACTAGCTCTAATAAGATTTAAACACAGAAGGCTGATAAATACTATGTTTGCACTTGAAGAGATCTGAGACTTACACCTGTTCTTTAAAAAAGGTCTAGGAGACTGCACATGCATAGTTGTAGAGGATTATATACCAGAAGGGCCTACTGGAAATCCCACATTGCCATGTATGTACTGATTTTATTTTTCTTTTTGTGTGTGTGTTTCAAGAGATTTCATATTATTCTGTGATTTGCAGGTTCTGTGTATATAAAGTTTTGCTCACTCTACAAGTAAAGAAAGGACTGTGTTGTCTGTAGTTCCAAAGAACATCTTTGCGGACAGAGATGAAAAGTTCACTGCTTTATGTTGTTCATTTGTTCTTCAGCTCCTTCCTTTTCACTGCTGCATCTAACCCACTACCCAGAGAAATCAAAGGATGAATTTTCTGATCAGTACTCCTCTGTTGGTGTCAGATACAATCAAAGACTGGGAGTTTATTACATTTCAAAGTGCTGGGATTTAGTGACAGATCAGATCAAATTGCCTAGGGGAAACTACCACGGATCAACATTTAAAGTGCACTGCCTTTTTCTTAAGTAAAACTTGGCCTGTTGTCAAGGAAGAAAACTTTTCATATTTTCATGCTTTCTCCTTTCAAACAAAGTCACATAAAATGCCCCACATATGTATGAAACAATAGTTAGCTGTTTGGATTCTCTGTTAAGTGGGAATTATTATGATTTCTTTATTTAACACGCACTGCAGAAAAGATACTTTATTTCCAAGGAACCAGAAATTATTCTAGACCAAAGTCCTCTTGTACCACCAATACAGAAGACAATTTATGGAAGCATGAGATATACTTACCTTCATTTCTAAGTTCATTTTGCATTACCTGACTAATGTAATGAGGTCATAGTGTTAATTAGATAAGACCGTTTCCCATCTTCAAAAACCTTTACCAAACATTTTCTAGGCATGTAGGCGGTAGCTCAGGGTATCTCCTTCAGGCCTACCTACACTGTGCAATGAAGTAACATAAAAGAGACTCTAGGTGGTGAATCTAAAAGGCACAACTCTCTCAGGACAAGAATCTCTGTCTGATGAGCTCAGGTACCACACTGGAACAGTGTGCCCATCCTGCTCCTGAGACTGATTGGCTCAAACACCCCTGACTTAAACTGTTCTCTCCAACATCTTCACAAAGCAGGAACCTTTTTCATTCTTTCAAACCCTCTTACAACCAAAAGAAATCAGTTTCCAGCAACAGAGGTATAAGTCAATAAAGCAAGAACAGCTTTAGGATGCATTTGTAAACCACGGTTTAGCAGATCTGAAAAAGCAGCAGCATAGTTGTGCATTATAATTCAGATGACAGGAATCATGACTTCTTCACATGAAAAGTCCCATCAAGATCACAACATATCACAACAGAACACAAGAAACATCACAAGGACTTTAGGTGCTGATATTGCAAGTGACAACACACAAACTGCTGAGACTACACACTGTCCCACTGAACATCAATAGAAATACTTTTAAGATCCCCCTTTCCACCCTGCTGCTACCAGTTGCTGAATTTGAGTTATATTTTGCAGTCTTGTAGAACAGTCAAACAGGCAAATATACAGAGAAAGAAAATAACTCATCTGCTTGTGTTTTTAAATACTGGTTATGATATTCTTCAGTCAGTAAACTACATCACACAAGAGTTTTCCACCATAAGCAGGCTACAGGCACATATACATGGTACATGGTACCATATACATGGTACTAAAGAGCATATGGTGTAATTTTCAACTTCATACACAAAATACGTATCTCCTTTTAAAAGTGAGACAACTAGCTTTAAATGACTGACCTGAAAAAAACAAACAAACAAAAGGGAGAGTTTTCTTTAACCACATTTTGGGTATTTGGGTTTTCTTAACCACAATATAGCTAGGCAAAGTCACAGTAGGTAAGATCTGCCACACACAGGCCACATCAAAAGCCGAAGTTCCTAGTACTTTTGTCTCCATCAGGATCAGACCAACAAAAAAACAAAAGAGCCACACTTCTTAGAGTGGAAATGCAGGAGACAAAGGTTCTGCCACTCTCAAAAATTAGACATGGAGCTGGGCACACAGAGTGATCTCTCCACCTGGGAGATGCACAACAGAGAGGAGCTTCAGACCTTTCCCAGTCACTCAGCACTCAGCAGGACTTACAGTACAACTCACCTGCTAACCTTAAACAACAGAAAACTAGATTACATGAGGTGAGTCATAACAACTTTAGAGTCCTCTGATCCTGGAACAGTAAGAATTCAGGTGATTCAACCTGTCTGCCCTTAATGCTACTCTTCCATTCAGTTTGCTGCTAAAATTAAATGCTTTCATCACCCTGTTTGTAGACATCCACAGTATAAACATTGAAAATATAGAAGATGTGTAGCCTAATCTGTTTCAATTTTGCACATAAAACTGCATAAAGATCCATTCACTTTATTCCTATCAGTCATACAGACACTTTTTCCTGAGTATTAAACATAGGATGTAATCTTGGGTGTCAGGTTCAACCATACCCTAAAATCCTGAAGAAAGCACTGCTGAACCCATTTCTGTTTTAATGCAAAGGAACTAGGTGTGGGAGAATATTCAAAAGAAGTAATCCAAATTCACTTTTTAAGATTAGTTAAACTACATTAAGCTGCCAAATGGATGTTTTTACTCAGAGTGAAAGTGGCCTTAACTTGGTTTAGTTTAATTTGCTTTGGAAGAAGATCAGGAATTAATCTGATTTAACTAATCCACCTAAAGTCCATTAATTACTTCTGATTCTTGAGTTTTTCAGTACAGACAAATCTACTTTCATCTAGAGTCTGAGCTTGCAGATCCAGATGAAAGAGTTAAAGGAGCATATTCCAGAAACAGGTTAGAATCTCCATAGCTAAACCTCATTACATAATTTTGTGATCTTACGTAATACAATTCCATTGCAAAGCAAAAGAGATTAATCACCTTCAGTGTTCTACAGAGTAGGTCATGTGTGCCTAACTACAACAGACTAATTTAAGGCAAGCTCACCAGATAATCTGTTGCTCAAGAGGCTTTTAGCTGATAATGGTTGGAGGGTTTATGGTTGGGATTATCAGCTGAACTGGTATATTGAAAATACCAAAAACAGATCCCAAGAGGAAGAAAATACAGAACTTTCCTCTCTGACCTTACATTAACATTGATCTCCTATCCAGGTTTTTAAGAGTTCCTGCTAGAGCGGTCGATGTGCAAACAGGGTAGATTCTCTAAGAAGAAAACTTTCAGGTGGCGCTGGGGCACCAATTTGTCACCTGGAAATGGTGCTGGTATGAGCCGCGCTCAGTATTCTCAAAGATTTTCCATCTATCACTTAAAGGGAGGTCAAAGATACTGATTATTTTGCAGGGCTTCTGAGGATGGAAATTACCACTAGATTAGAGGAAATCTGAATAAGTGACACAAATACAAATAGTAATTTGCTCCAGGAAAGAGAGGCTGAAGTCAAGCCTGCTGCAGTTATTCATCTGGGTTTTGTGACACTCCTCAGCCATGTATCACAACCTGGCTTCAGGAAACAAGTAAAGAACAGCCCTACTGTTTCCAGCTCAGCCCAAATATTACCTGCAGTTCTTACCTGCAAATGTGGTTTTGGAAAGAGAACTGCTTATATCTCAGGGAGAACTCATGCCTCAACACGTCCCACTGTCCCAGCTCTCTCAGAGAAGGGCTGCTACTGTCCCTCCTTTATGCCTCCACTGACCCCAACAGGCAGCATTGAGGGCAACTGGGGCCAGCAACTTTCCAGAGGAACTTTTAAACCCAGGTATTTAACAGCAACTTGGGGCATGCCATGTCACTCAAGTACTTAGAAAATCAACCACAGGAATTGACAGGTTTCAGACGGCACCCAAACAGCAATATGACCCCAGCTGATACTCTGCTACACAGGGCCAGGGCTGGAACTAGACCATCTTAATGTCCTTTCCAACTCCAACCATTCTATGATTCTATGATTATTTACATTCTAAATTTTCTATTTTACATGTATTTATCTTCTCCACAAAAGGAAGAAAGAATAAAGGGGAGAGGAGAACCTCTCAGAAGTGCTGTTACAGATAGGTAATTCACAGTTCATGCTCTCCCCCACAAGGGTTGTGTATTTTTTCAATTTTTTTTTTAATATATGCATATATAAAGGTATTTCCAGATAACATAATGCAACATGGGATCTCACACAAAATTTTAAAAAACTAAATTACGCAAGATTGAAAACATAGGAAACTGCTACATTAAGTAACTCTGACTCTATGAATTTTCACAAATTACAGACAGATTATAGACTCAAGGCACAAAGGAAACATGACTGTTTGTTGCTTCTCTCTGTGCCACGCCTGAAAGACCACAGAGCCCTACCACCTTTTCCTGTAATCTAAGGACTAAACAGTAGCTCCCTGAAGTACTTAATCCCTACAGCCACCAGCCTGCTTCCTGCCTGTACCTGCAGATAAATCACTGGAGCTTCTGAGCCTTTTCTTCCATTACCTTTCTAGGTCCCTAGATTTGCAGAAGTATCAGCATTGTTTCTGAACAGATCTGCAGAAGTATCAACACTGTTTCTGATCAGATCTCTTCCATACTCCTTCCCATCACAAATCATACTGCTTATACATCTTCTCATGGCCTACTTTTCCTACCAGCAATCATTTTTCAGCATCTCTTACAACCATATTTCCTTTACCTTCAGCTTTTCCATATTTCTTTAATGATGCTACCTACTTCCTGCCTCTCTCTTTTCTTCTGCTGCTCTGTCTAATAGTTACAATTTCTTTCCTTTCTCTCCATAAATGGTTCAATATGCCCTTTGGTTCAATACATCTTCCACAGGTTGTGTTATGTGCTCCTCTTCACCACTCAGCCTACCCTCTGCTCTTCCATTCTTACATTTGATTTTGAAGCTACATTCAACAAAATCTAAATGCAAAGCCAGAAAGAAATAAAGCACTAGTAAAGCTGTGATCATATCACCATATATCTTCCAGCAAAGTTTAGCTCTAGCAGCCTTGCTAACAGTTTAAGGAGGGCCAATAGATCTCATTCAGGTAACACACCTGCAGCAGTACATGACTGTGCTTAGCTGCTTTGGCTCTACCTCACATCATTAGCACAGAGATTGCTGTGCCCCATGAAGCCAGGCATTACTCTCAGTGTATAATATAAACACTGCATAAGCAAGCAAAACTTAATGCAGGAAAAAACTTACTTACTTCATATTAGTAAAGCATTCTGGAAAATAATGTCCCAGAGGATTACTGCTCTTCCAGTTGTGTGGCCCGCAGCCTTATGACTTTCAGCAATCCAGCTGAGGCAGTCAATAACCTCTCTGAAAGACACTGCTGCCCATGGTGAATTATTGCTTAATTAGATGGAGCTTGGTTGTTCTATCATCTGTGCTATGCTTTAGGAATAAAATCAAGTGTATCTTGCTTTCTAAGCATTCATCTTACCTCACCAACAAACTGGGGAAGTGACAGCTTGCTACCAGGAGGAAAACTATCAAAAAGAGGTATCTGCTATGTTTCAAAAAAGGAGTGCAACTATAAACAGTTCAAACAACTCAATAGTCTGCAGTGCTGTCAGTCATAAATGCTTATGTGGTGCAGAAGCAGAGAAAAGGTCCAGTCAATATCAGGACCCCACTGTGATGAGCTGCATCAAGGTGGGAAAACAGCCTGGCAAAATTTTCTCAGCAAAAGTAGCTCCATGGTCACTCCCCCTCTATGCTTACTCGAATTTCCCACTATGGATGCCTTTATACTAATCTGCTTCCAAACTAGTTGGAGGCAATTTCAGAAAGATCCTTTGGATTAAGAGTGGCCACATGAAGAGTTTGTGCAAAAATAGCTGACACATTTTAAATTCACATTCTGGATGGTTTTGAAGCAGCTTTCATGTATGAGTATATTCCTTAAACATAAAATCCCTGCCTTCAAAGATTTATTATCCAAAAATCCAATCTCACAAATGTTTATACACCTTCTCAGCTTGTGCTACACAATTAAACAATTCTAGTGTGTTTCAAGAAGGTTGCATAAAGTTTCATGACATAAAATGTAGGAACAGCTTTTAATTTCTGAGTTAATTGGAGGTGATCTCCCTTATGTCAAACTCCTAACAACAGGTCAATAAATTCTGTAGGAGGTCTTTTCAAGCAATATTTAAATTTCCAGTTCATAAGAGAAGACTATAAAATCAGCATATACTTCACTGAATACTGCGCTTCTCAAGAGGCTAAAATCACTTATACTTCCCACATTTCAAACATTTAACATGCTAACACTTTTATTATTTGGTTAGTCAATTACTGAGGGTTTTCTATACAAAACTGGTGCAAAATAAATTCCTTGATTAATTTGATTAATCAAAAGGTAGTGCAAAGAGTGAACAGAAGGATGAAAAAAGACTGTAAATAATACTACTGTTAAAAGGTTTTGTAATTTGTGTAGTGCACAGAAAATCCCTACAAACAAGACCTAAAAAAACATTGTGTGAGATATATAGATATGGCTAGAAGCACTGGGGAACAGTGATAGTAGTTCAAATAAATCCAAAGATTAATTAAAAGAGACGCTGTTAGTGAAAAAATATTCCAATGCCTGTTCAGTACAGAGTTGAGGGAAGAAACTGTCAGGTCTCACAAATGAGTGACACTGTCCACAGAAGGGAATAACCCAACTGAGAGCAAAGATAGTGTACTAATTCCACTGAGCGCCTCTACTGATAGGTCTCTGCAAAAAATTCTGGCTAAATGAAGGTGCTGTGGTCCGAAGGAAGCCCTGAGGAAACATAATCAGAGACTCTAACTGATGAGCAGAAGACGGACTGTGTAACACTGAAGGCACAAATGCTAAAGGCAAATGTGGACAGTGCATATTGGACTAGTAATCTTTCTACAGGAACTGTCATCACTGATGTGTCATGGAATCTCCTTTGAAAGCTGGTAATATACTGAAGACCATGAACTTAGAGAATGTATGTGTAATTCATCCCTTCTATAACATTCAATATGTGACATTAATAGCTCAAGCAGGATATTAAAGTATAAATTCCTCAGCTCACCCTGGACAAGAATAGGTGGCCAGAAGGCTAGCCCTCAATGCCTGCCTCCAGAGAAAGCCATTAAGCCTTCAGATCTTTATTCTAAACCTCAGTTCTCAAAGATGTGGACCATGGGTGAGTGAAGACACCAAAGCTATCAGAGAAGAAAGAGAGGAGATTAAATTTGTACAGAGAAAGTCTTATTAGCTACGCAATGCAAACTTCGAAGCTGAAGCAGTGAAATTAAATGGGAAATTAAATTGGAGGGAGGCTGTCCAGAACACAGACACATTTGGGCTCTGGTTGAAAAAGGATAAGCATGGCTATCTACTTACTGAGATTAACTGGATCTTTTTGTGTGTGTTTGTAACTTTTCCTTCCATATTGTCAGGCAACAGTATGGCCTTAACTCTTTCTTGGCCTTGTTTGACCAGTTAAGCTTGAAGTTGGCTACAGGGTGGCTTGGGAGAAAACCACTGAACTGAGCAGATAATAAAAATTTCAGTGTGACAATGATCCTTGTAGACCTGCAGGCATTTTTAGGACACCAAATGCTGAAGGCTACTTCTTGCTACACTGCTGATGACCCTTATTTGCAATTGGTATCACTGGTGCCAAGCCTTGGAAAATTGTTCCCTGTAGCAAACGCAAACCAGCATTTCTCTTGCAAGGAGCAGATGGATGAGCAGCACCCTGGCGTTTAGGCAAAGCCTGAGGCATCGCACTTGGGAAATTTTCAGTTATCTTTCTTTCCCATGGTTTTATAATTTAAGGAAAGGTTACAGAAGAGGTCAGGCAAATACTGTCATAACCTAGGAAACATTTCTGAAAGTCACAGTTACGTTGCTTTACTGGTTACACTATAAACTGATTCTTTTTTGCTAAACAAGGCAACTGTTGCAATCTCTTTTTCATTTTGATGGTTATAAATGCCTTTGGTTCTCAGCATCTCAATTCACAGTGAATACTTGAGAGTACTACAGATAAATTATCTGGGGTAGCAAGAAGAAAGAGGGGCAACAGCTGCTGTTTTAGAGGCCAGTGGATTTAGTGTGCTAGCCTCTTTCTTGATCTACATTGTGTAATTTTGCAACAGT